TTTACATATTTTTTAATTGAAGAACTATATTACAACCAAAAAAAGGACATAAATTGTATATAACATCATCTAATGTTTAAACTAAATTATATCCATTCAACTTATATGTCATTACATTATATTTATATCTCTTTACATAAGTGGTGTTCTTTTTTTTCATTCTTTCAAAGTGATCATTAATTATGCATTGAAACATACATGATAATTATTGGCTTCCTAAATTCCGGCATCTTCATCTTCTGTTATAATCTGATAATACAGTTGATTGACTAGTAAAGTATACATTGGAGCCCAGAAAACCATTAGGTCTATCGAAGCTTACAATGTAAGCTAGGGGAGAGCCTTTCCCCGCACCCCATGACCTACAATATGAGAGCACATACCTGTCTGCTCCCCAGGCCTCCCAGCCCCCAAAACTTTATATACATCGAGCTAATAAATATGTAGCTTGCTATTCGTGGGATGTGTATGAGAGGTGGGCCAGGAGATGTTAATTAAGACCTAAATACGATCTGAGCATTTTGTCCTCAGTAGTTGAAGAGTGTTCTAGAAGTTCAATATGTGTTTAGATGGTGTGATTCTCATCTACAGTGGTGATTGTGGGAACAGAGCAATAGGAAAGCTGCTATTTTAGATTAATTAATCTCAAGGAGAATGGTTTGACAATCTTACCCTGAATATATCTATTAAAGAATTCCAGAATATTAATACCATGTAGGTTTTTTATAGTTAGGTTGATTTGAATGTTTACAGTGGAATGTCATGAATTTTGTGCTAATAGTTGCTAATGTATTAACATAATACTAATGGTGGGTTAGGCTATGACTATAGGAGAGTAACATGATGTATCATCTCTTTCAGATTTATTGACCATTTAACAGTCATGTTTGAAGAGCTACCTTCCTGGGATACAGAAAGAAAATATTATCCTAGTGAATTAGAGGTAGGAAACTGCACCTGTTTGAAACTGCCATTTATCTGTCTGGTGTTTGAAAATAAATGGATTAGAAAGTACCCTTAGTCTATTATAAAAAGGACACTTTCAGTCTAGTTTATCATGGAGGTTAGAGTTCTTTTGTTTGTTAGAAATGTGAGTTTAACCCCTTTCTCTGCTTACCTTCTCCTTTGCTTAGCTAGATCAAGCCTTTTCCAGGAAATGATGTGTCCTAAATTCTATGTTTATACTATGCCAGGCACATTAATGGCACTTGATTTTATGAACTTTATGATCAAGGCTGCAAGGACACTGTCATGGCATGAGTA